ACAAGCAGCAGCTCTTGTGTAGTGTCATGTAATAAATGCATGTACATGTACATGTACATGATTACTGTGTGTAGTTTTTATGCCTAATACACACTGTACAATATTCACTTTTATGTGTATTCAGTTTGGTGTGGTATGTGCAGTGATGCCACAATATTGAGTTATTTGTTAACAGTAGGTTTTCAGTGGGGGAAGATAAATTGAGACATGATATGATTTTTATTGACATCAAAAATACCTTGTAGAACAAATTTGAGCTACATAATGTACATGTACATGTATTAATCGTGTATTAATTTTTATTTATTTATTATTATTATATTTATTATTATTGGCATTTTAGCATTCAAATGGGTACTGACTGAAATTACTGAATATAACATTTGTCTCTGCTCTGCATCTAGTCTACTTAAAGTCACCCCCATTTTTATTACATTTTCTGATACATATTGGTATCCTTATGCTGTGTAGAAAGTGTGAGGTGGCTCCAACTTTAATTTTTCAAGTTATGGCTGTTTTCTTTTTGATAAATGGCCAATTTATTGAGAAATACCCAAGGCTATAGCCCATGGTTTTTTTCCAAAAATGGCTCTGAAATCACCCCAATTTTTATTACATTTTTGATACATATTGATGTCTTTATGTTGTGTAGAAAGTTTGAGGTGATTCCGACTTTACTTTTTCAAGTTATGGCCATTTTTAATAAATGGCGAATTTATTGAGAAGTACCCAAGGCTATATATAGCCCATGGTTTTTCCAAAAAATGGCTCAGAAATCACCCTCAATTTTTATTACATTTTCTGATACATATTGATGTCTTTATGCTGTGTAGAAAGTTTGAGATGATTCCGACTTTAATTTTTCAAGTTATGGCCATTTTTAATAAATGACCAATTTTTGAAAAATACGCAAGGCTATAGCCCATGGTTTTTTCCAAAAATTGGCTCCGAAATCACCCCCAATTTTTATTACATTTTCTGATACATATTGATGTCTTTATGCAGTGTGGAAGATTTGAAGTGATTCCAACTTTAATTTTTCAAGTTATGGCCATTTTAAATAAATGGCCAATTTTCGAAAAATACCCAAGGCTATATATAGCCCATGGTTTTTTCCAAAAAATGGCTCCGAAATCACCCCCAATTTTTATTACATTTTCTGATACATATTGATGTCTTTATGCTGTGTAGAAAGTTTGAGATGATTCCGACTTTAATTTTTCAAGTTATGGCCATTTTTAATAAATGACCAATTTTTGAAAAATACGCAAGGCTATAGCCCATGGTTTTTTCCAAAAATTGGCTCCGAAATCACCCCCAATTTTTATTACATTTTCTGATACATATTGATGTCTTTATGCAGTGTGGAAGATTTGAAGTGATTCCAACTTTAATTTTTCAAGTTATGGCCATTTTAAATAAATGGCCAATTTTCGAAAAATACCCAAGGCTATATATAGCCCATGGTTTTTTCCAAAAAATGGCTCCGAAATCACCCCCAATTTTTATTACATTTTCTGATACATATTGATGTCTTTATGCTGTGTAGAAAGTTTGAGATGATTCCGACTTTAATTTTTCAAGTTATGGCCATTTTTAATAAATGACCAATTTTTGAAAAATACGCAAGGCTATAGCCCATGGTTTTTTCCAAAAATTGGCTCCGAAATCACCCCCAATTTTTATTACATTTTCTGATACATATTGATGTCTTTATGCAGTGTGGAAGATTTGAAGTGATTCCAACTTTAATTTTTCAAGTTATGGCCATTTTAAATAAATGGCCAATTTTCGAAAAATACCCAAGGCTATATATAGCCCATGGTTTTTTCCAAAAAATGGCTCCGAAATCACCCCCAATTTTTATTACATTTTCTGATACATATTGATGTCTTTATGCTGTGTAGAAAGTTTGAGGTGATTCCAACAAGATATTTTGAAGTTACAACTCTTTTTAAAAAATGAGCAAATTTTTGAAAAATACCCAAGTTCTATAGCCCGTGGTTTTTTTCCAAAAAATGGCTTGGAAATTACCTCAAGTTTTAATTAATTTTTCTGATGCATAAAGGCAGGTTACATTATGATATTAGTCCTGACGTTATGTTGATGAGAATTACGTTGATATCAGAATTTGGTTCAACTCATATCCATCAAAAGGTCAAATCACCCACGCTTTTGATTAAAAATTGACAATATGTTGGCGTAGCATCATATTGTTAATGTGCGTTAATGCATATTGATGTCCTTATGATCCTGACAAATTATTTTTGAGTGACATTGTATAGGCATTTTTAAAATTTTGAGAAAAAGCAACAGCTATAACCAATAGTATTTTTACAAAAAATTGATTCCATTTCTTAGTACATTGGCTATAAAACTGAAATATTTGTAATCTAAAATAAATAAATTAATTTTGTTAGCAACCCTCTGCTCTGGGTAATGATTTGTTGTTTCATTTTATGTAGAATGAAGTTTTTATTACA